GGAGTTGAAGCATCTCACAAGCTGTTTCTTGAATCCTTGGTGGTCAACCTTGATCAACCTCTGAAGTGAAGAGTGTCAAGTCAGTCCTGTGGCTGCTCAGTGTTGTAATGGGGTTGAGGATGCAGGTAGATGGTGCAAACTGGGACCACCGGGAAGCAGGGAGTGTGTGGTGCAGGTAGATGAGGCCAGAATCCCAGCGGCTGTAGCAGGCTTGGAAGCTGGGCCACATGGCCAGAGCTTTAAGGAGCAGGAAATTGTGCATTCTGGCTCACAGTCCCAAGTGCAGCCAGGTGGCTTTCAGAGTAGCCTGTGAAGCAGAGACATGGTCACCTACTGAGCTTAAATGTGTGGAGGTTGATACTGCAGTTTTGCAGTGTCCACACTGTGGGGACTTGAGCGTCTCAGCTATAGGATTCAGGCTAGGCCAGGAGGAGTGATCAAGATGGCTTGTGGAATTCATTGGGAGTGCGTGGCTTAGCTGGGGACTGCTTGATTCCCCCCACCCCCAATGATTTATGTGTGTGTTTGAAAATCAATGTTACAGATACAGAGAGAGGTATATTCCATCTGCTGGTTTATTCCTCAAATAACTGCAATGAACAGGGCAGGGCCAGGTAGAAACTAGGAGTCAGGAGCCAGAAACTGGAGCTTCTTCCATATTTCCCACATGGTTAGCAAGGGTCTAAGCATTTGAGCCTTCTGCTGCTTTCCCAAGCTATAGACAGGGAACTGGAAGGGAAGTGGAACAGCCAGGACTCGAACTGGTGACCATCTGAGATGCTGACAACACAGGTGGCTGTATCACAGTGTGGATCCTGATTACTTGATTTTGGAGATCACATTCCCTGTTGGAGGGATACACATGTGTCCCCTTCTTTTCTCTTCCTATTCTATCAGTCCTGTTGTATCCTGCACCTTCCCTGGTGACGTGAAAGCTGTGAACAGTGGCTGGTGGTGATTGTCTTTTCTTTCAATGCTCCACCCAACTTGACACTGAAGTGTCAAATCTTTTAAAAATCTTTTTAAAAGAGGAAGAGAGACAGAGAGGAAGATATTCGTCTGCGCTGATTCACTCCCCAAGTGAGCACAACAGCCAGAGCTGAGTTGATCTGAAGCCAGGAGCTTCTTCTGGTTCTCTCATGTGGCTGCAGGTTTCCAAGGCTTTGGGCCGTCCTCCACTGCTTTCCCAGGTCACAAGCAGTGAGCTGAATGGGAAGCAGGGCAGCCAGGATACGAATCGGTGCCCATATAGGATCCCAGTGCCTGCAAGGCGAGGACTTTAGCCGCTGGGCTCTCATGCAGGGCCCTATTCTTTTAGGGGGGTGTAGAGCAAAGCCTAGAACACTAACATCTTGTTCTTGAGAATCCATCCCATGTTTACTTCCTCCTGCCAGAGTCCAAGCCTTCAGCAGGGGGCGGAGGGGGAGACACAGCTGTATCCCCAAGTCTCAGATCCACAGCCCCTGGAGGATCTGTCTGCATTCTCACTTCCCCCTCCCTGGTGACGCGGCAGCTGTGGACAGTGGCTGCTAGAGATGATGCGTTTTGGCAGCTTGTCTTCTAGGCGCTGGCCCCATTCCCTGGGAAGACTGCACATGTCCACATCTGGCCTCCCTCCTCCTCACTTTCCTGCAACTCTTGCCTCTCTGGGGGCCCCGTCCTGTAAGGAGCTACAAGCTCCAAAGTCTCCCTAATGCTTAGAAAGTCCATTCCAATGGGGGTGGAAATATCAGCTGTAGGTTTCATGTGAGGTGCCCTCTGAAGTCGCAAGTAAACTCATCCATGTCTCCTAAAGGAAAAGTCAGGTTTTCTTTTAAAAAAAGGTTTGTATTTATTTATTTATGTATTTATATATTTAATCATTCATTCATTCATTTTGAAAGGAAGGGAAGAGGGGAGCAAGAGGAAGGGAAGATATAGAGTGAAAGGGAGAGAATGAGGGGGAGAGAGAGAAAGAAAGAGAGAGAGAAAGAAACTTTCCCCTTGCTAGGTCATTCTCCAAACATCTACACTACTCAGGCAGGGCCAAGAGCCTGGAGTTCTATCCAGGTTTCCCACATGGGTGGCAGGGACTCATCCCCAAGGACTGCCTCCTGGGATGCACATTCCTAGGAAGCTGGAATCCAACCCAGCATTCAGTTAGGAGATGCAGGCATCCCACATCACATCCTGACCACCGAGCCAAGCCCTTGCCTGAAGATCCAGCTTTGCTAAGACTGCTGTGCATCACTGTGTGAAAGAAGCTGACATTTCACTGGGCAGCTGGGAGTTTGTGAGCCCCTGGCTCAATGACCTGAGCTCCTGGGCCTTGGTTTCTTTGTGTGTGTGAGTACAAATAAGATCATTTTCATACATACTGGCTCACAGCAATGTGTTCCAAAGCTTCAGTTTCCTTCGCTGCCATTTTTCTCTTCCAAGCACCTCTGTTGAGCCTGTTGTCTCCCACCTTTGAATGTGCCACAGAGCAAGTCCTGGGGGAGATGGGATCAGACAGTCTCTGCAGTTGCTTCCAATCCTGTAATTCCATGATTCTGATATCGGTCCCTTCCTGCTTGGCCATCTCCACAATTCAACTGTGCATGTGTGTGTTGGTGGGGGAGGGTGTGTGTGAGATGGAGGGTGTGGGGGAGGGCAGCAGCAGGGAAAGGTCCTGTGGGCCAGGGTGCCTCAGTTGGAGAGAAGATTTCAGTTGGGTCTGCTGCCCATCTCTGGCAGGATCCTTGTGCCTAGGGAGAGTGAATTCCCCATTACCAAAAATATGCAAATAGATGCTGTAGGGTATCAGGCAGGGTTGCTGAGGATGGGTGCCTGGATTCCACGGAGGAGACAGTCCCACCTAGGCCCAGAAGGCAGCTGTGTGGGAAGAAAGGCTGGACAGCATGCAGGACAAATGTGGATGGATCCAGGAAAGAGGCAGCTCACTGGTTTGACAGTTGAATGGGGTATGAGGGGATGTGAGTGGGATAGCCAGAAGATCCTTATATACTCATATCAGCCAGGACTAGGCCAGACCAAAACCAGGAGCCAGCAACTCACTCTGAATGTTCCATGTGGACATAGACACTTGAGCCATCACTCCTGCACTAACAGGAAGCTGGATCAGAAGTGAGTAACCAGGACTTAAACATATAACACTCTGATATTAGATGCAGATGTCCCAAATGTGTGTTAACTGCTAATGTCAAATGCCTGCATGTAAACTGCAGGTAAAAAGATAATTTTTATTTGAAAGGCAGAGTAAGAGAGAGAATCTTCCATCTACTGGTTCACTTCTCAAATGACTGTAATGGCTGGATCTGGGCCAAGCTTCTAGGTCTCCAACATGGGTGCAGAGGTCCAAGGACTTGGGTTATCTTCCATTGTTTTCCCTGGCACATTAGGAGCTGGATTAGAAGGAGTAATTGGGACTCAAACTTGGACCCATAAGGGATGGCAGTATTTCAGCTTGAGACTTAGCCTATTATATCATGGTGCTGGCCTTGTCTTTTAACTGCCTATTTCCATAAACCTTTTGAAGCCTCTATGTATGTTCAATGACATTTTTACCCTCATACTGGAAGCCCTGAATTCAGGAAGCTGCACTGCCCCCACTCCAGCAGTTCCAGTTCTGTTCCATTCTCCCACCTCTTAGAGTCTTGGTTGATGTGTATATAAAATGAGGAGTTTGATTTAGAGGACTTCAAAAACTCTAGATATTTAACCTATTGGTCCTGAGGTGCTCTGGAGCCAGTAGAAGCAAATAACAGTAGTGAGATGGAGTCTCTCGCATCAGTTGAGTTTCCTAACAAAATGTTGAAGTCCTTTGAACATTCTGGTGCTTTCTCCATTAGTTCATCAAGTGGAGTTCCTTCCACTGTGACTCTTGACAAAGAGATGCCATGCTGGTTTCTCTGTCCAAAGTTTGGTATTCAAATGGGTGATTTTACATCTCCCAAAGCTCCCGTTGTAGACTGGGAATGAAACTACTGGGACAGCAGAGGAATTAGAGGAGTGCCTTTATCATTTATTCCCCACTCTTCTTGTTTGCACAGAGCAACTTCCTCACTTGACGCCTGTAGTCTTTTCTCTATTTCTTTATCCTTCCTGCCCAAGCAGAGGGTTTGGAGTGCCCTGCTGGGACATAGTCCTTGCTCCCCATAAGATGGAGCACTGTGGATTCTGTCTCTTTTGATCACTTTCCTCCTTGAAACCATCAGGGCAGAGACCTTGGTAAGCACTGTGCATCCTCCAATATCCCTCGGTTGGGCTTTCATGGTGGGGTTGGATGTGAGTGGAGGTGTGATGGTTTCAGGGCACCACATCCAAGGAATGTTCTCCAACCAGATGCTTTCCTTTCTGATTCCCCTCAGACCTCAGCGGTTGGGGCTTCAGTCCAGTGATTCAGACATGAGGGTATGAGCTTTCCCTGAACCAGAGTCTTTCCGCGAAACCCAAGGCTATTTAACCTCGGATATGTATAGACACATGCAAAACCTTATTAAAACATTCTCAAAAGAAATATATGTATTAAAAAACCCACCCCAAAGTGGTGGTTATAGGTTTGTGGGATTGTAGATAATTTTTATTTATTTATTTTTTGTGCTTGTCTGAAGTTTCTATTGTGACTATGAATATGCTGAAAAAGGCGGGGAAGGAAAGAATGTGAAAAGTATAGAAGGAGGAAAAGAAAGGAGTGAGTGACTAACTCAGTGGTTCAAGTGGTGACAGGTAGGGAGTGGCACAAGAAATGGGGGAGAGAGAAAAGCAGATGTCATGAGGTAACACCATTGGTGCGAGTTTGTGAGGGACCAGAGTGATGTCCAGACCCAGCAGTGTCCCCACATTGGGCACCTGATGTGCCTCACCTTGGTTGTGTCCAGGGCAGGCCACTTCCCTTTACTTTGCTTGAAACCAACCTTAGCTGAGTGGCTTCTCTCGGGATGACCTTTTGGACTCTGCCTGTCTGGGGTGAGGTGTCCTTTCAGAAGTCTCGCTTACGACCATGCTGTCTTGCCTTACAGACCGCAGCTGAGAAGTCTCCTGGAGCCTACTTCCTTCCTGAGTTTGCGCTGTCTCCTCAAGGAAGTTTCCTGGAAGATACAACAGGGGAGCAGTTCCTCACATATCGCTATGATGACCAGGTAAGGAGTCTGGAGACCCTAGCTCTGGCTTCCCCATGTGCCAGTGGGCAGGATGTGGCATCTCAAGAACACCTTCTGAATAACTCTTTCCCTCCTGGCAGTGTTAGTACATGAGCCACCCTTGAAGGGTCCTAAGACCCTGGGATCACCCATGGTTGCATACAGTTCCCTACGAGATGTGCAGTGCTGGCTCTGGGAATTGTTATTATTTATCTTCATTGGAAATGTAGGATGGACATCCATTTTTGCCATCACCCAATGTAGCATTGAATTCTGAAATTACTCAAAAGTTCTGTTTTCTGCATAAGCACTATTTTGCCCTCCTGGCTTCTGTTTTATTTCTTTCACGAGTGGCAACACTTCTCTGTGTGTGCCTTTAAATTACTTCATGGAATTCTAACCGAAGAATAAGGCTGTGTGTGGCCGAGAAGTGGATGTTGGAAACTTGTTATTATGAATTCTTTCACTCTCAAGTTCTGTTGGTACCTTAACAGCCCTTAATGAGGATGCACAACCCATTGAAACAGGAAATGTTAGCTGTGCCACTGCACAGTCTTCTGGATGGCTGAACCTGAATTTGCAGGGCAGGGGACTCAAGGTGATGCGGGACTTAGTGGAAGAGGAGGAGCTGGGCACGGTGACCCACCTCTTGTTGTATCTGGTGGCATGGAGGGAGATTGCTCAAAGATTGAGAATAGTTGTGCTGTCATAGGTAACACAGTGTCATTTAGACAGGGCCTTGCTGGGAGCAAGAAGCATGACATAAAAGAAGTGGCTTAGAGGTGTTCAGTCTGGCAGTGCAGCCATGCTGGATCCCAGTGGTGTGCTTGTTGGAGCCAGGTGGAGAGTTGGAATGACCCTGGGTAGAGGATTGGAGTCTTGCCCAGCACAAGAGGCTAATAGCACGAAGATGGCTGGGGCATGTTGGGGGTGTGGCAGTGCAATCTGCTGCCTGTGCCCTAAAACCTTGTTCATCTTCAGCCTATGGGAGATACCCTTGATGTGTTTGACTGCTGTGGTGCCGGGGATGGATAAGCATTGGGGTGGGACCCAGCAGGAATTGAGTGGTCAGGGAGTCACCACAGGTCACTGAGGGATGAGAGCTGGGGTTGGGAGATGATTCTGTGCTCAGGCTGTGGAGTGCAGCACTGGGTGCTGGGTGCTGCTAGAGCCTCAGATCCTGTTAGGCTTGCCTTCTGCCTTTGTCCCCCGGGATTTCCGGAGGGTCTGTAATATATAGCTTCTTTTGATCTGGAAATGAACGATCCCATAGGTTTTCACAGGAGAATTTTGGAGAAGCTAATTGAGAAGACAGTAAAACACACACACACACACACACACACACACACACACACACACACAGACTGATGTCTAGATAGTCACAAGCTGTGCCTTCTGTAATGGAAGAGCAAGTGTGGAACTTCTCCAGGTCCCACAGATATGTTCTATTGTATAACAATATAAATGCTAGAAAAAGAGGGGAACAAACCTCCGTGGTGTTTTCAAAATGTCCCAAAAGCAGATCTTAAAAGTGTGTGGCATTCGATGGAACTATTACTGCAGAACTTGATGTTTCCCAAAGCCCCAGTGGCCAGCACAGACCCCACGTGGTGTCACCCTAACCCCCCATTCCCCATCCCCATATATTTATTTGAAGGGAAATTAACAAGGTCAGACTACAAGTCCTTCCACCTAAACTAGGTATATCTTCCCAAGGAACCTCAGGAATTTAATCAGCTCGAGGTTGTTATCCCAGCATCCAGCCCCTCATGGTTTTTCCTCTGATGACTGCGCTTGTAGATGGCGGTATGATGCTAGCTCATTTTGCTGACACAGAGCAAAAGGCAGAACCAATTGAACGTGATTAGAGCTGAAAAAGAAATATCCTTATCCTGCAGCATGTGGCAGAATTAGAAGATCAAGGGAGAACAAAGGCTCTGCCGTTGGGTTGCTCAAGATTCCTTCCCGGTTTCACCCTTTTATTTGGCTGTGTGACTGGACAAATTGCTTCCCTTGGCTGTGTGTCTGTTTTCTCGTCTGCGAGATGGAGCTATGGATGGCATTGGTGTTTCGAGTACTCGAAGGAGGTCATTCATATACATTTTTCTGCCAAGGAGCAGTGGATATAGCTATTGCTAATGACTAGTATTATTTGTAGAAACTCAATGTAGAGATGAAGATGTTCTTTTGCTAAAGGAGAAGGAGAAGTACATTTTTCAGTTGTATCAGGGGACTCCATAAAACACTTAAATATTATTTGAGGGGGAAAGGGATTGAGAGAGAGAGAGAGAGAAACTTTCCTTCAGCTGATCCAATCCCCAATTATTTGCAAAAACTGGGACTGGGACAGGCAGAAAGTTACAAAGCCAGAACTCAATCCAGGTGTCCCACGTGGATGACAGGGACACCACCACTGTCTCTGGGGTCTGTATTAGCAGGAAACTGGAATCAAGAGTAGAGCAAGTCCAAGTTGAACCCAGGTACTCTTGATATGGAGAGTGTCTTTTAACCAGCATCTTAAAACTAGGCTAACTGCCTATCCCACACAGCCTTTTAAATCAAACTTTTATTGAAGTCTAACATATATAACAAAATGCACATATGTCTGAAGTCTGGAGCGTGGTGAGTTTTTAAATAGTTTTACACTTGTGTAACTGCTACCCGGTTCTAGAAATCAAACATTTCTTGCACCCTGGAAGGTTCCTGGTGGCCCCTTTCCACTCCAGTATTTCCCACCCAAGAAGTAACCACCATTCTGGCTTCTATCACTACTGTAGATGAGTTTTGTCTGCTTTTCTTTCTTTTTTTTTTTTTTTACTTTTAATTTTATATAAATGGAGTCATACAGCACGTACTCATTTGTGTCTGGCTTCTTTCACACATCATTATGTCTGTGAGATTCAAATAAGTGGTTGGATCCAACATAATATGAGGCTTAATGTCTAGCAGTCATTTGTGCTCTTTGGAACAAATTGTCTCATATTGGAACAGACTGTGGCATGGCGGGGAGAGGGGATGGGGGAGGTGGAAGGTAGTATTGCTCTTGCAGAGGAATTCCCAGATGGTCCATAGAAGCTTTTCAAGACTGTCTCACCAAAGATTCTGTACCTGGGGAAGAAGAGAGAGGGGGGCAGTTTTCCAGTGTTGCCTTTGCTACACTCCAAGTGGGCTTTCCATGGATAGAAGTAGCTAGAGGCAAGGGTAAGTCACTTCTAGAGGAGAACCTATGCTGTCAGGTGGCTTGGGTGCCTACGTAGGCGGTTTGCTTAAGCAAGGGATCTTTGTTTCTGCTGCAAGTGTTAACATAGTAAAGTGCTTATGTAGTGGGGACTGCAATCTGCTTTCTCAAATGGTTGGGTTGGAGGTGGGTTCTTCCAACCCACCTAGAAAATACTCACCTGCTGAGTGGGAAGCAGGTGGATGCTATATAGATATTACTGCTCTCTAAGACAGCCCTTGTAGGAGTTTTTAAAATATATTGTATCCCAAGTTCATGGTCACTCACTTACTCTGCAAATGTCTGCTGGGTTAGGTGCCTGGAAAGCAGAGAAGCCCGAGGCCAGCAAGACATGCCTATGATGTAGACTGCTTTTAATGAGGCACATAAAAGCCATGCTGTGGCTTACATGAGGGCTGAAGTGGCTTCTGTGGCAGAAGTTGGTTGGAGCCAGCTGCAAAACAGTGTTAGTGGGTGCAGACAAGCCTCATCAGGCAGGCTTTATTTTGCTTGTACCGTTAATGAGTTTGTAATGTAGCAGTTACTTAATTTCTGCATTCAAAGAAAAAAAAACTAAGTGGCCAGATTTCATGATCTGAACTCCTTCCCCTCTGAAATAATTTATTTTTGGAAGTACAGATTTTGATTATTGAAGCTGACTTGGGCAGCAGTGCTCTAAATTATTGCTTAGAGAAGTATTGAGGCTTACAACTGCAGGAGCGTTGGCCCAAACACCTCATTTTCACAAGTGAAAAAGTGAGTCAGACTCTGAACATGCAAGTGACTTGCTCAAGAACATCCAGATGGTTATGTCAAAAAGCTAAACCAGGGCTGACATTTTGTTGAAGTGGATTAAGCAGCTCTTACAATGCCGGCATTCCACCTCGGAGTATGGGTTGCAGTTCCGGATGCTCTGCTTGCAGTTCAGTTCCCTGCTAATGTGCTTGGCAAAGCAGTGGAGGATGGTCGCTGTCACTCATATGGGAGACTCAGAGGGCGTTCCAGGCTCGTGGGCCAAAAGTGAACCAATAGCGAGAAGACCTCTGTCTTTCCCTCTCCCTTTGTCCATCTGCCATTCCAATAAATAACTAAATAAACCTTTCTTTTTGAAAAAGGGAAAAACTAACACCATTGTACTGTAAACCTTGGGCTCCCCCACTCTGGGATATATCCAGCTGAAGAAGTGCTTAGTAATTGTCTGCTTTTCTTAGCATTCTGGTTCTACTGCTATGGTCAATAGAGCTCTTGGGACCTTCATTGACCACAGAGAATGGTGGAATATTAGTGGGTTGCTTTATCAACTTCTTCCCAGATCCTTCAGGAATTTGGCATTACTTATGCCAAGAGTATCTATGAGTGTGTTATTTCTCCCCAGTTTGTCATAAAAATCACATATTCTTTTTTCTTTCTTTCCAAGTCTGGAGGAAACATACTGGTTGAAATTAAAATGACACTGACTTCCCATTGGCTGGGCATGTCCTTACAAAGAAAGCATTTAGTCCTTGGTTGCCCTAGGCCTCTGAAGAAGTCAGAATGTGTGAGTCTGTGGTTGGAAGAGTCATTAGTCAGCCAGTCTCCAGCTAGATTCTTGTGTCCTTCCTCATGGTGGTTTTGGAGTTTTAACCCACAGAGAGAATGTGCAATGGGAGGTGGCTCAGTGTTGGTCAGTTCTAGGGTGCGGGTCTCAGATTCTGTCAGAAAGTAAGGCAGTAGTATTTGGAGAGCTGCTCTGTGCTCTGCCTAGCTCTCTGGGAGAAGGAGATGATGGGGGTCTGCATCCCTT